TACTTTAATTTAGACTGACTGATCTTCTGTTGCACAGGGGTCATTATGGGATTCCTCTTGATCATTGTTCTCAGAATTCTTTTACCTCTATTCAGTGTTTGGATCCCCTGTTTCCTGGATGGCTTATGTATCCATCATAATAGGCCCAATTATGCTTCAGTAACAGATGACCCCCAAAATCTCAATGACTTTCAGTGATAAAGATTTATTTTTTGTACACATTACATGCATCATGGCTCACTTTACCTCTGTGCCATGTTATCTTCATTCTAGGACCCAGGCTGACAGAGCAGCCTCTGCCTAGAACATTGCTGGTCATCATAGCAGAAGGAAAAGAGACATGGTGAATCATGAACTAGTTCAAATATCTAATCAGAATGATACAAACTACTTCTACCCACATTTTACTGGACAAAGCAATTCACATAGCCATACTTGAGTTCAACCCTCCTGGAGGGTGGAACAGTGGCGGGGGCTGGGGGGCAAATCATGTATTCAAGTCTGACACAACAGAACAGAGATATATAATCTTCTGCAGGGAGGCAAAGTTAATACATTATGAATAATAAAACTATCACAGCATGCCTTCCTCTTTCTTGTTTCTTCCATCTTTTTCATGAAATGCATCCTCCACCCTTGTAGGTTTATGTCTCTTTTTATTCCTTTATTGTCATTTCAACAGTTTTAGGAGAACCACAGGAATGTATTCAATATGTCATGTTTTACCAAAGTCCAGCAATTACTTTAAAAGGGAACTGCTAGGACATGGCTTGTTTGAAAGACGACTGACTATAATTATCATTTTCATTTAGCATACCATATTCCATTGTTTATAACAGTTTTTCCTAGAGTCTACAAATGTCAATAAAGGATTTAAATTGTATTTCTTTCTGAATACAAAACTACCCAATATGGTAAATTCACTTTAAAACTGAGGCAGAGTTTCTAAAACAAGTTTGATCTTAAATATCTTGATTTTGCCCTTTATCATTTCCTCCAAGCTGCAGGTTTATGTCTGCAATGAAATCAAGCAGCTTAAAAGAATTTCATTCGACTCCTGTAGCCACAGACAATGGTATATTCAACATGTTGGTCTAACTCTGAAATCTACCTGCCTCTGCTGTCTGTACTATCTTAAATCTTATGATATATTTGGGAAAATACAAGCTTATTTAGCTATGAAATGGAAAATACAGGAAATGGTTGCTAAAGGGCTATAACGGAAAAGAAATGGTCAAATTCAGCTTTTCATTACATTAGTTTTTATTTGATATTCTCCTCTCTAATAACTAAAATATAAGAGATTCTCAACTTAAAAACAAACTTGTTTTTTAAACTTTGGAGTGTGCAATAAAAAGATTAATTATTTCTTAAAAGTTAAATCTTGCTCAAATGTGTCATTCATATGTATTAGTACTTTCACTGGTTGGGCCTGGGCTTTTAAAGTAAGACTTTCTTGGGGTACCTGGGTGGCTCAGTCAATTAAGCATCTGCCTTCGGCTCAGGTTATGATCTCAGGGTCCCGGGATGGAGCCCAGCATGCCCCCCCCCACGCTTCTCAGTGGGGAGTCGCCTTCTTCCTCTCTCCTTGACCCTCCCCCCCACCCTGTCATGCATGTTCTCTGTCTCTCTCTCTCAAATAAATAAATAAAATCTTAAAGAAAATAAAATAAAAAATAAAGTAGGCTTTCCCAGTTCAAATGCTATTTTCATCTCAAAATTGTCATGGACCCTAATAAATGACTTAAATCTCTTTAATCTCAGTTTCCTCCTTTATAAAACAAGAATAACAGCATTTCCAAGAAAAAGTTACAAGAATTAAATAACCCATATAAAGCCTTGACGTAGTGGCTGGTGGACTGTAAATGCTTAATAAATATTTGTTGAATAAATGAATTTCTGTCCTTAATTAACATCTACCTTACATATAAGTTTATATAAGTCAAACCCAATTACAACCGAGCTTAAAAACCATAAATCCTTTAATGTAATAAAACCATGTATTTTGTGTTTGGTCAAATTCAAAGTTACTTATTTATTAAACATCCTTTTTTTAATTAAATGAAGAAATTTTAAGATTTTTACTCCTTGATTTTGATCTTCTAAGTTCATCTAATCCAAGACAGGGATAATTGTCTCCCTAGGTATTAATTTTTTTTTTTTAACTTAGTGAATCTAAAACAGTCCATGAGAAAACTTACCACAAACCTAAATCAACTCTACCTGTTAACAGATGGCCTATGACATACCTAGGCCAAGGTGAAATGCCAACACTAGACAGAGAAGTTCTTGATTATATAGGTCTTGAGGGGTACAGAGTGTTAAAAACCATTTTTTTTTTTTTTTAGATTTTATTTATTTATTTGACGCAGAGAGAGAGACAGCAAGAGAGGTTACACAAGCAGGGGTGGAGGGAGAGGGAGAAGAAGGCTTCCTGCAGAGCAGGGAGCCCGATGCGGGGCTAGATCCTAGGACCCTGGGATCATGACCTGAGCCAAAGGCAGATGCTTAACAACTGAGTCACAGAGGTACCCCTTAAAAACCATTCTTGAGTGAAGCTGGCTTCATTGTTCAAAGGATGATCTATATGTTATTAAAGAATATACAATTATAACATTAAGTATTTGAATTCTTTAGAAACATTTGAGAGGTACCTGAGACTTTGAAAGCAACCTGGGGTAAACACTCCTGTGAACCTTTGATGGCAGAGACTGAAAAGGCTTTTACAAGTAACTAAAACTAAAGACTATGGCTGCAAAGGCAATTAGTACCAGATATTAAGGAGAAAATAAAAAGCAAATAAACCCAGAAAGGCAAATAGATCCATTCCCTTCCATTCTTTGCTCTTCAACTGATTTCATTCCTTTCTTATGGAAATTCATTAGAAATATTTTGTTATGCATCCAGAAGGCTGCTTTCAATTTGCATTCATGTTTAATAGTACAGAGAACAATACAGATGATGTAGAAAAAAGTGGGGAAAAAAGCACAGAATTTACAGGTTTCTGTCAGGTCTGTCATCTCATTGAGCCTCACTTTTGTCATATGCAAAATGACAGTGAAAATGTCTGCCCTACAAAGTTGTGATTATGAAATATGGTACAATAAATGAAAATGCCTAGAACAGTGCTGTTCAACAGAAGTATAAGGTGAACCACAAATGTGAGCCACATGTGTAATTTTAAATAAAAAAATTAAAAGAAGCAGGTGAAATTAATTTTAATAATATATTTTATTTAACTCAATAGATTCAAAATATTATCATTTCAACAGATAAATCAATATAAAATTATTAATGAGACTTTTTTTAACATCCTTTTTTGGTACTAAGTCTTTGCAAATCAGTGCGTATTGTACACTCATAGCACAGCTCAATTCAGACTGGCCACACGTCCAGCGCTCTGTGGCCACTCGCAGCTGGGGGCTACCATATTAGATAGCAGAGGCCTGGAGCCAAGGTGAGGCTTTATATGTTTATTACACCCAAACTCTATTTCCTACCAGATAAACCATGTGGGACTTAGGAAAGGTATTTTTAAAAATCAACCACATTAAAGAAAGTTTGTATTTTTATATTTTTGATACAGTATGTAATATGATATATTATCTGTAATATGGTGATAAGAATTTAAAATAAAATACTATCTATACTGACTAGACCATGTATTTATCCAAAATAAGAACAACCAAAAATGATTATTATGTCACTGATATTCATTTATTTTATATTTATTTTTGTGATTATTTGACACGTTCTAATAATCTAAAAAAAGTAAATAAACCTGACATAACTATAAACATACAAATAATTCAAATAACTATAAACTACAATTGATTTAACTTCACTCCTAGCAAAGAAATAGGAGTAAACAACAAAATATTTCCCTATGTTACTAAATTTTTCACTTCACAGGACTTACCATTGGTTAAGTCATGTTATGGTTTTAACGGCTTTTTTCTCATAAAAACTTAACTGTAATTCTCTAAATAACAGATGACCACTTATCATGACAACTTGATTATATATGAATATAATCACAAGTTAAAATGCTATATTTATTTCAAAACAAAACAATTCACTGGAATTAAAGCATTAAATATTATTTGGATTACATTGATTATTAAAATTATACTGAATAGTATACAGTTGCCAAATTCCTGTATCTTGATCTCACAAGCAGGGTGGAAAATGTATGGAAAACACTTCTTAACTGCCAGGTCTTTCTGGAAGTTATGCACAAAGCACAGATCACGCGCAGGCACATATGATTTATTTTTAAGTATGCTCTCATTTTCTGTGTATGGAGATGCTCCTGCAGTTCATGTATTTTTCATCAAATTTTCTCTGGGTTGCCCAATAGTCCAACACAAGTAGTCAGATAATCACAAGAGTAAAATGGAGAGAGACTACTGAACAGGCTACTACAAAAAGGCGATTGCTACACCTTGTATCAAATCAGACAAGGACCATTTAGTTACCTAATATAACTTCAACATTACAAAGTTTACAAAATTCGTAATGACCAAAACTCTTTGGACTTTGGTTTTTCGTCTACTAGGTGTTCAAAAGATGGCAATCTAGAATATGGCCCTCTTTTCCAATAATCTAGCAGGATGCTCAGTCAGAAGTGATACACAAGGAAATAGTGCCACTAGCTAAATCATCAATTCTGTGCCTGTAGCACCGCCTATGTATCTGTCCCTCTGCAGTATCCTGACCAAGAATTTGTCTCATTCAGCCATACTCAGGTTTAAAATCTCTGATGGGTTCACACTACAAACAAGTCTAGCTGCAGAAGACAGGGTTCAAATACTTACATCTTCCTATTCACATTGTTTTCACTGAAACTTTCGTGAGGTAGGAGCAATTCCCTTAACTGGACTTGCGTATTTCCTAAGTTAACTGATGCTGACACAAACACAAAGACATCTACTGTACAATTTTAAACACTTGGCCAAACTGCAGAAATAAAACCACCCAATGCATTAAGAAAGACTCACATCTGGCATTTCTGTAGAGAAGGAAAGGATCCTGGAGCTGGAAATCCAGGTCTTTAGTAATGGGTTCTGTCCTGTTTTCCATGCTCAACCTATTCATAATGGTGAACCCATGCTTTGGAGAAGCAGACCTAAAAATCGCAAGGGGTGGGGATGATATCAAAAGACAAATTATTCCACAGAAGTACACTTCAGTAGAACTACTATTAGAATATGCCTCTCAATCTTTTTGTATGTATGTACAGCTTTGTGCAGACTGTACACATAAAAACCAATGATTCTTTACTATTGGTTAACAGTACTAATGTACTAATTCATGTACTACTTCATATGTAATATATCCAGTGTGACTGCCCTTGCTGTCCCTTTGGCAAAAGCAAGTCCTACTTATTTAGCTATGTGTATATAGGTATTTTGCTTCCCTCTCTAGGTTGTAAATTCCTAGGCAGAAATATTAACCACTTAAAAAAAATTACGAACAGATACTTTTAAAGAATCTTGAGTGCACATCACAATCATATGAAAAAATTTTTCATAGAAAATGTTAGTGTTGGTTTGAAATTGAAGCTGTAAAATCTCTTAAAGAAATGATGCCCCTCTGGGTCAACGAACCCGTGATGAGATACAGTACAATTAAAAGATCATAGAATTTAATTCAAGAAGCAGCCATTTTGTCTTCCTCATAAAGGAAACAACTTCATAGATAAACTACTATAAAAGTTTTTCCTCCATAACAGTGTGTCATTTAGTGACTTATTTTTCGTTTCAATGAATAAACCTTCAGTGCCTACTCTCTGTCAGGCAGAACCCAAATTACACGGAGTGTAACTCTAACAACTACATGTGCATTTGTCTACTCTTGGGTGACAGCCATATAGTAATCCAACTGTGCAACTTCTGGTGACAAATGAAACACCAAATGCTTCTACGCTGAAACTGAAGCAAGCAGAATTCATTTATTTACTTTAAACTAGGGCAGCAGGGTAACCAACCCACAGAAATGTTCTGAGCGATAGGAAGAAAAGGTGTTTATGTTTCAGTTTTATTTCAAATTAGCCATTTGATGCTACTAACGAAGTAACATACAGCTACAGTACTACAGAATTTTGAGACCTCCAAATTTAAACTTGATGGAAGCCAATCCTTGCCCAACTTATTTTACAAAAAGGTAAAGCAGTGGTAGGCATATGATCAATATTAGAAAGAATCACGATAATCATTTCAACTTAAATTCCAAGGAAGAAGGAAAGAGTTCCCAAGTTCTCTCACAGAGAGGGTCCTCTAGAAGTGTCAAGTTCAAAAATCACCAGTGGGTGTCTCTATGAACTCTCTATTATAGAAAGCAAGCCATGGGAGGAAATAAAGAAAAACATTTTTAAATGGGATTAGGTACTTCTATACAGAATCAGAATTTGATTCTTCAGGTAGTTCATTATCCCAACAGGACCTCACCTCTCTAATGGTATGGTTACTATACCATCTCATAATTTATAAAATAGACTCGGGGGATGAATGTGCCAGTTCCTCCAAAGCAATATCCATAACAGAAGTCAAAATATTAACACCAGCAACTCCATTACCTGTACTAAAAACTCTCCTCTGACTTTTATGAGCTTTCTGTCATTCTCTACTGAGGAAAGACCTCAACATGTTAGAATCTGGCATCTATCTGATGGCCTACCCCCGGGCAAGAGGGGAGATGGGGAAAGCTCCTATTCTTGAGGAGTTAGATTTGGGGAAGAGTTTAAGGAACAGGGAAAGAGTTGTTTCTCTACCTAATGGTTGAACTGACAGTTCCATTTGGAATTCAGAGTATATTAAGAAATACTTGAAAATGCAAACCTTCATTTGGTTTGGGTACAAAAGAGAAAATACTTGTATAATTTGTTAATCTTTTGCAGTCAAAAAGAGAGAGAGAGAGAGAGAGCGAGCACCTACTAAAAATCCCTAAAACCAATCATTAGCATATATTAATACACCTTTTCTTTCACTTCTCAAAAGAGTAATACTTGTATGAAATGAATGAGAAATGCACTGTGTGTGTGTGTGTGCTTGGTATAAGTCAGAGTTTATCCATTTGGTTTTCTTTTCACACTTGAGAATTCTCAAGAGTAGTCTATACTCAGTGGTATGCTCTGGTGTTTCAGAATGTTTCAGAACATAATGTAAACCAAAGCAGCCAATGGCTCTTAGGCACTCCCACCACTTTTCTAATAAACCAACCTCCTCTACCTACTCCAATGGTCTTGCCCATCCGTTCCTTTCTTTCCACTCCCACTGTGGCTTCCGCCTCCACTGACACACTCTTCTGCCATCCTTGCACTGGGCCTGCAACCCGCCTCTCTGCAACATTCTCATTTTGCTTGTGTCCATAAGGCTGACTCTTCTCTGTATCTCTGGTCATGAAAACTCAACCACTAGCCCTCATCACTTTCTTCTCCTTCAGAGAACACTTGTACTCTCATGGCTTCAATGACCAGTTTAAGGCAGGTGACTTGAAGCTCTGTATCCCCATCCTTAACCTGGCCTATGGAACCTGACAGCTCATTCAAATGCCCTGCTATTACACCAAAATCATTATTTCAAAATAAAATTATCTTCAAACCAGATTCTCTACCTCCTATCTTTCTATTCTGCTTATGGTTCTGTCATTCTTTGTCTTCTATTTCAAAATCTTAGTATTTTTTTTTTAATTTTATCATTCCTTCTATATGTGCAATCTTTCAAGAAATTTGTTGTCTCAGCTTCTGCCATTCTAGTTCATACTCTCATCATCTCATATCTACTCCAATGCAACAATCTTCTCATTGTTCTAAGTCCAACTTCTTCTAGAACCAGTGCATCCTCATAATGCTAATACACTGACTGTCCCCATACACTTTGCCATAACTCTGTTACTTCCCTGTTCATAAACCTTCAGTGACTCCCTACTGCTATGAAAATAAATTGCAAAATCCCTCGTCTGACATTCCAAGCCAGCAAAATCTCTTTACTTTTACTGTCTTCTGATATAAACCAGGATAAATTCTCTGTAGCCAAGTCATTTTCCTTACTGTCCCTTCACCACACTAGGTCCTATGCCTCAGCTTTCTCCATCCTTCCTGCTGAGACAGCCCTTCCCTCTCTTCTGTGCAAGCGCTACCTTATTCCTGATGCCTACTTGAGATGCACCAATTCAATAAAGCCTTCCATAATCATAGCAGCCCGTTCATTCCGTATAACCTATCAACTGGAGCTAAGAATAGGCTATCTGTTGGGACTTATCTTTATTTTTTGGTTATTTTTATTTATTCTTGGGGGGGGTTACCTTTAAATGTGAAAGTGTAAAAAAACAATGTGTGTGTGTACATGCACACACATGCATTTTCTGTCTCCCCATTGAAGCTGTTAGCTCTAGAAGGGTTTGTATTAGCCCTTTGTAGTTTATCTTCGTCCTCCCACTGAAAATGATGGACAGTTTACGTGAATGTTTCATGAATAAAACATTGAACTATTAAGACAATATGCATACTATGTGATATTAACAATTTCTGATACAAATGACAAAAAACATATATTTATCAAATTTATCCTGAAATATACTCTATTAACTATATAATAGAGGACTCAAAGACATCTTTAATTTTGGAGCACACTTCTTTAAAGAATCAATGACAGGGGGTGGGGGGAGTGACCAATAAAACCTTTTTCCAAATAGTAATTAAAATATCTAATATTCTTAATAGTGTACTTCTAGCTTTTTTTTTTTTTTTTTTAAGATTCTATTTATTTATTTGACAGATAGAGATCACAAGTAGGCAGAGAGGCGGGCAGAGAGAGAGAGGAGGAGGCAGGTTCCCTGCTAAGCAGAGAGCCCGATGTGGGGCTTGATCCCAGGACACTGGGACCATGACCTGAGCCGAAGGCAGAGGCTTTAACCCACTGAGCCACCCAGGCGCCCCTACTTCTAGCTTCTTGCCAATGCATTATATTCAAGGACTCTGTACTACTCATTTGAATTAAAGGATAAATATTTAATACTGTTTTAAAAAGAACACAGATTTAAGTTCTTCAATACTGGAGTTTAAATTACATTCTGAAATTAGTATTCCTCATACTATACCAGGTGACATTACTCAGTATTCCCTTCCTTGTATCACTAATAACTTCAAACCAAGATTCAGGTTTTTTTCACTTCTCTGTGAAATAAAACTACATTTGAAGAGCAACACAACTGAATTAAAATATTCTTCCCAAGACTGTCAGTTTCTTCATAAAAGTAAAATACTCTTACCTTGTGTAAACAAATAAGGTTCCTTCCACATCAGTCTTTTCCTAAAAAACAAAACAAAACAGCAAAATGTGTATATTCTCTTCATTAATAGGCACTTTCACAGAAGTTAGAGAATAGTCAGTTTTAAGTAAGGCCAAATCCATTGAACAGGAGGGTTTATTCTTAGGGAAAGGAGAAAGGCAGGTTTTCAGCCAGGTTGTGGCTCTGCTCATTAGGCAGCAGGAAGCAGTCCTTCTACTTTTGTCATTCACGAAATAAACCATCATTCTCTCTCTTTACCAAAGACAGGGACAGCAATACACCTCTGGCTAAAGCAATACAAAAATAAATACACTCCATGGATTTCCTTTGAAAGAGGAGGTAAGTGTGCTGCCTTGTCCTCTACCCTGTGACCGGGTACGTGGCTGCAGAAGTCACTAGTGTCTGCATTTCATTATCCCCCTCTTTATTTTCTCGGTTCATCTTCTATTGCCATATCCTGTCACCAAGGAGAGCAGATCTTCTGTCAATGACCCGACTTCGACTACAGCACAGAAGAGAGCAACGATGCTGTAGTTTTCAGACAAATTAATCACCAACGTGGTGTGGAATATTTAGAGTCTCTATCGGATCTTTGAAATCAAGTTAGAAACATTGCTAAGCTCGGACTCAAGAAATCTGCCTGAGAGAAACTGGTTAAGTGGTAAAGTGAAAGTGATGAACTATCATTTCAGTTCATTTGGAAAGGCTCTCTTCCATCTCTCCGAAGACAGGAGCCCAGGCCCTGGTGAAAATGTTCATTAGTACAATGTGTACTTAGAAAAAAAGTTTTGTTTTAGCTAGTCATTAGATTATTATAATGCAGAATTTAAAAGGTACATTTGCTACTTACATGGTTTAGTTTCCCCATTCTATCTAACCTCCTAATATTTAAATATTATTCTCTATTATGAAAATTATTCAAAATTTAAGTACTCTGTAGTTTGGGGGGGGGAAATGCACTCTTTAAGAACAAGGGTATATATAATATTAAATGATAACTTTTTAAAGGCACATAAACATTGGAAGCATGATCCCCTCACATGCTCAAGTAATTTCGGCAATTCTCTTGGTCACCTTACTCCAGTGGATCTTAAGGTATAGACCCCCATCGGCAGTATCAGCATCACTTGGGAAGTTGATGGAAATGCAAATTATTGGGCTACTCCCCAGACCAACAGACTCAGACTACAGGGGTGATGCCCAGCAACCTCATGTTCATTAAGCTGTCAGGTGATTGTGATGTACGCTATGTGAAAACGGCTGCCTCAGTTAAGTAACATTCTCTGCCCAAAGAACTGTACTAGGAGTCCTGAAATCAAAATCCATGATGTCCCAAATTATGTCAAACATCACCAAACACTGTTTTTTTTTAATCAATTTTTTTTAAGATTTTATTTATTTATTTGACAGAGAGAGATCACAAGCAGCAGAGAGGCAGGCAAAGAGAGAGGGGGAAGCAGGCATCCTGCTGAGCAGAGAGCCCGATGGGGGCCTCAATCCCAGGACCCTGAGATCATGACCTGAGCCAAAGGCAGAGGCTTAACCCACTGAGCCACCCAGGAGCCCCACCAAACACTGTTGTTTAAGAGCAAATGGATATTAAATTACTTAGCAACAAGAATTTTACTCCTCATAATAGAATATGTAATTAGAAATAAAGAATTTATAACAGAACAATTTTAGTCAATCTTTTCTCTAATACATACACATTGGTAAGAAAATTACAGTTCATCCTTAAAATGGATTTATTATAAAGTTTGTATAAATCACTTCAGCGTCCTGTGAAAAATATCCTTACTTCTCAAGTGTGGCCCTTTTCCACTATGCTTTGAAAAATACAGAGTCGAAATGAAAAAAAAAAAAAAAAAGATACAGAAACATTTTGACTTACCTTTCCTCGAGTACACAAACATGGTTAATTCTTATCTGTTGAGAAATCTATATACTGGGTGCACTTTAAGTGGTAAGAATTACCTAAACTGCCACAATATTAATCACTGAGAAAATGGCCTCTATAGAACAATAAATACTACCCAAACAGTCTAAAATTTGTAGGCATTCCTGAAGTTCAACCACTACAGTTGGCAAGTATTTACAGTCCACAGAACCTTCAAGAATAAATGTGTAAAAGTTAAATATCCGGTATTATTTGCTACATTGATAAGCTGAAACAGAGATACAGGTTAAGGAACATGCATCGCGAGGACCACTCGCTGCAAGGCCAAATACTTCTGTTCTTCCAGTATTTGACCTCAGACTTTTTCATCTGAGTGATCCAAACACATAAAGCTAATAGCTTTTGACTTGCTTCCCTTCCTCCTGAAGTAGCAACGGAAACTACCTTTTCTTAAAAAAGAAAAAAAGACTTAATGCCCAGTTTCAGTTTTAAAAAATCCAGAATTAGAAATGTAAAAGGCATGTCCTAAAATTGTCTTCCCAACTTGCAACATGCAATTTATTTTGATTCCACATATTAGTGAAATCAAACAATATCAGTACCTTTCTCTGACTTATTTCACTTAGCATAGTGCCCTCAAGGTAATGGATCCTACCTCTTGATTGAAAGTGTTAACCAATTTGTGGCCTCCTTCAACTGCAACAGGTTCTTAAAAAGTTTGAAATTCCCCGACTGCCTCAGGGCAGACTCCCACAGCCCAATACCACAGGCCTGGTCTCCCTGTAGAATAAACATCAAGCAACAGCTTTCCAGAGTTTTCCTTGGGATCCAGACGCATAACTAGGAAAGTCTGCACCAAACAAAATCCACTGTGTACTTTGCCCACCAGGAGCACTGTTGGCAGCACTAACGTGTAAAGGGGATTTCTTAAATCTTGATTATGAATACCTGGAGTGGGATTCTTGCCAGGTCACATGGGGCTAACCAGTTTATTATTCCATGTCTCTGTTTCTTCATTGAAAAGAGATAACTAGCCTGTACCACTCAGATCTTTTGATTAAAAAACGTATTTTAAGTGCTCTATTATACCTGGATAAAAGGGGCTTTGGAAATATAAATTATGATCTATCAAGGTTGAAACAGCTCAAACTGATGCATTTTCCTGGCCCCTCCAGTGTTATCCAAGGGTAACCAGATTTTTTTTTTTTCCCCTTTCAGGGCAAAGCTTAGGTTTGGGGTTTTGGAGTATAGTTAGAACAAGATTTTATTAGATCCTCCAGGCAAGGAGGACTTCTATGTTAAATTACTAGTTTATAGTCCTGGGGAATTTTAGCTAGAATTTTAAAAGTACAATTTAATGATTTAATATTACACTCTATTATAAAATCTAACATGTATTAAAAAATTAAGCAGATCAAAATTTAAAATAGTAAGATGGAATATAAAATTGTGTTAGGTGGCAAATTATTGGGACTCGGTACAGCATTTGACACTTTTGAAACCACCCAAAGCAATCTCTATATTACTAATTATCTATGTTAACACAATCAAAAAGTAGGCTTCCATTTATCCCCATAAACCTCTCTCAATCATGCACATAGCATATAAGTCACCTATGAAGTCTTTAACAGAGCAATGCCTGGACTTCATATCCTGAGATACTCATCTGGCAAGTTACACTTTTTAAACCCCCAAGTGATTTTGACACACAGGGAAACTTAAAAACACTAGCTAGAAACAGGACAACAGTCACACTAAGGCAGTTGCTCAAGCTCAGCACTTCTGACATTTGGGGACAGATAAATCTTTGTCATGGCGGCTCAGCCTGCATAAAGGATATTTAGCAGCATCCCCGACCTCCATCCTTTGGATGCCAGTAGTATGTTCCCTCTTAGTATGACAACCAAAAATTCTGGTCACTGTGCCAAATGTTCCCTGGAGACGAAAGCAAAACTAGCTACAAACCACTGCTCTAAGGACTTAGAGGTGAAAATCCATTCTTCAAATGACATGTAGGTACTTTCGGGGAGCAGTCTTTCCAGATTATGAATGGGAAGTAGTTCTGTTAAATTCCTATTCCAGGCATGACATAATCTTTCTTAATCCTTCCAACACCTCATTTCTGTCTACCCTTCATTCCTAATACCTCCTGCTCTGAACGCCTGAAGTCATTCTTCATCTATTTCAGTGTAGTAAGAACTCCCCTTCTTTACCTCCCATCTGCTTTCTTGCATATACTTTTACTTCCAATCTCAAGAATGTTCTTTCTGCTTTCAGTAGGTTTATGTTCAAAAGGCTCTCATCCAGAGGCCCTGAGTGATAGCGTATGGAGTCAGGGGTGACAAACTGTTCACCCACTGCTCTGCATCTGAACTAGGTCTCTTTTTTCTGGCTACCACAGCCTTGAAGATTAGTACTTTGAAAGAATGACCTTTTACTGGATGAATTATGCCCTGTCTGAAGGCAACAAGTGCAGGAAGCAGGAAAACATAACTCCTGTAAATAATGCATTGTGACACTTCTACTTTTTGATGAGGCTTTAGAAGGACTTTACTGGCTATCTAATAAACCTCTAACTATCTGAACAGGTATCTATCACAGAGATACTGTCAAAAGCCTATAGGAGACAATTGTTTTCCAAGAGGAATGCTGTCCCCTACATGTTAACAATTTCTCAAGATTCCTCAGACTCTAATCCCACTGTGAGGTAGGCTCACATTACTGTACATCTGACTCTTTAACTCCCACAAAATTACCTTGACAGAATTAACACAGTATGCCTTTGGCATCTTCTTATACAGCAGTGTAATAGCAATGCAGTATGTAGAATATCTTTGTATTTTTTCTAAATTGCCATTGATGAAATCACCCAGTACATTGCTCTATGTTCCTTACATAAAGACCCAGGTGACAAGTTCCCCCGAAAATGAGGAGGAAATAAGTAAGCTCTCTGCTGACCAAGTGTTACAGACTGGTGAATATTAAAGACGTCTTCCCATTTTCCTTTTCTGCTTGACAACTAGGAGTACAGACCTAAATTCCTCGCTCTGTTCCAGCAAAATTCCTAACTTAAGAACTTGGGGTAATAGGTCGCCTGGGTGGCTCAGCCCTTAAGTGTCTGCCTTTAGCTGGGGTCATGATCCCAGGGTCCTGGAATCAGGCCTGCACCAGGTTCCCTGCTAAGCAGGGAGCCTGCTTCTCCCTCTCCCACTCCCCCTACTTGTGTTCCCTCTCTTGCTGTGTCTCTGTCAAATAAATAAACAACATCTTAAAAAAAAAAAAAAAAAGAACTTAGGGTAAAACTGTTTCCATCTCTCCCATTCTAGGGCCTCTTGTTAAAATCTTTTTACTTCTCTTAATTATTTTCAGGTGAGTTTTTTAATTACAGAGTGGTCAAGGTCCACACTAGAGAGAAGTGGGCTATGTAAATGAATGCAAATGTTAAAAAAATATTAATTTGTTCAATATGCATGTTTTCCTTGATTGAATTTCGATGTCTTAGAGAATACATTTAAAAATCACCTGAAACTCATTCATCCTGGCCCAGTTTTTTATACTGTTTTCCAACTTATTTTAAAATGATGGATGGTTATGTAATGGATGGATTATAATTTGGGACAAAAATTATTATGAGGAAAAGAAAAATTACATTTCCCTCTATTCAAGTGGGTTGTTCCAAAATCACACGCAGTAATTCCTGCAAAGGAGTCAAGTGTCTCATGCTCCTACCCCATTGTAATTGTGAGGAAAATTAAATTTCATCCCATTGCTATTTATTGGGTTTCTGCTTTGAGAAGTGCACTAAATAATTCGGCTCCCAAACGGACTCTAATTTCAAACTCATTCTGGTCTTGGTAGGCTGTGATGTAACGGTATCTCCAAGATGGGCAGCCTCCTTCGAAGTGTTAGACCCAGCCCCCATTTTGTCCTCTATTTGCCGATGTTTGCTCTTTTCTCGGTGTATTTCCTGAGTTCACAAGTTCAATTTCTCCCCTCTGCCAAGATCTGACTCCTCTTCGTCCCATTTAAGACTGATGTTCCAGAACCAGAACTCGGCTTTTTCCTTCGTCCCCTACCCTTGCCTCCCCTACAGCCACGTTTCACTGTGACAGAATCCTGCTTCACTTTCTCAGACTACAGCAGTCTTCCGCCCTCAAGGCATTAGGTCCCCCTCCTTCCTGCAGCTCCGGGTCCAGTCCCTGATCCGTCTGGTCTCCCCACGTGGGGTGTCGTAGATATTTAAGTCTTTTCCCCAACTTCAGATGGCTTCTCAGAGTGGCCTCCCTCTCCCCCAAAACCCCCGGCCTAGGGGTCTAGTTGCCACAACTTCGGCCTCAGGCCGCGATCACCACCATCCACCTCCATCCACCTCCAGAACGTCAGCGTCTCCTCCCCCTCACTGGGTTCTGGAGCCCCGAGTCTGACGACCCCGTCCCCACCCTCGCCCTGCCTGCGCGGCCCCGTCGCGTCCGCACGCACCCACTCGTTGGCCCGATGGCCGAAAGTGTACAGAGCCACCTGGCTGGCCACGTCCACGATGCGGTTGATATAGGGGTCGTGGCGCTGCAGGGCCGCCAAGCTGATGTCGCGCCCCTTTCCCACCAGGCCGCCCGCCGCCACGGCCGCCATCTTCCCTCCCTCCCCGACATCAACCCAGGGTTGTCGGAAGCCACTCTCAATAGATCGCAGAACGAGCGAGCCGCCTCGCAACCGAAAACATGCGGCGACCGCAAGGCCGGGGAGGCCTTCCTTCTCCAGCCATGCCCCCGCCCCCACCTCCGGTGACAGACGCAAGGCATTACTAATCGATGGCCGCGCTCCCGCCCCCGACGATCGTTGCCGGGGGCAACCGCAAGCCCCGGCTAGAGATCTGAACCAGGGTCCTCTTCCCCAAGCTCTGTTTTCTTCTTACATGAGCCTTGGAGCTGCACGCGCGGTTGGGTGTATCGCTTGGATGTGATCGACGCCTTGGAGTGTTTTTGGCGTGCAGTGATCAAACCTATAATAATAAATAAACGTCAAAAACTAGTAACTAAAGAGAAAGGGAACTGTGATTTCTGTATGTACAAACACTCAGTGGTTCTCAAAGTACGGAATTCCCCCGGGAATTCCAGAGACCCTTTCAGGGGTCTGCCGTGTGAAAACTATTTTCATGACAATACTAACATTTCTTTGCCTCTTTCACTGTGTTGACATTTGCACCAGTGGTGCAAAAACAATGGGGAGTAAAAAGTCAGGCGTCTTAGAGTGATTCAAGGCGGGGCACCGCGGCAAAAGCCAGTGTCGCTTGAGGGTGTTCCTCATAAAGCAGTAAAAATTATTAATTTTATTAGAGTTCAGCTTTTTGCTTCACTTTTTAAAGATTTATTTTTTGAGAGCGAGAGAGCGAACGGGTGTGCGAGTGGAGGAGGGGCAGAGGGTGAGAATCTGAAGCATGACTCCCCGCTGAGCCCTGATCCCCGAAAGGAAGGAACATCCCCTTCGTCTCCCCGCCTTGAGATCAGGACCTCAGCTAAAAAAAACAAGAGCCCCTGGCTCAACCAACTGAGCTACCCAGGCGCTCCACACTTTTAAAATTCTGTGTCAAAAAATAAGAAGTCTGTGCAAAGCACCTGTGCTGAACACAGGAGTACCACATACTCGTCCTTAGGAAACCACTTCTGTGCTTGAGTTGCAAGCTGAACTAATATTTTTATTTTCACGGAACACTATTTTTACTTGAAAGAAAGATAGACTAACTAACAGACAGGTATTCGATAGGCATTTTTTCGAAAATAAATCTTGTGCCTCTGTCACTTCCAGGAAAACAAGGACCGTTATTGTTACCAGTGATAATTTTTGAGCTTTCAACTGAGAAATAGAAGTTTAGAAAACATGTATCTACTACCAGGAGTTGGACGGCTTCTCAGTACTTAAAGTCTTTTCTGATGAGGTCAGTGGGCATTTAGAAAGTCTGTGATGAGGAATTTGGTCTTTAAACATTGGGAGATGGGAATATTGTCAGTCTGATACAGGCTATAACTGGTTGTACCATTTTGTTAAAATCTTTTAGCAAGTGCTGAACATTTCTTTTGTAAAGGAATTTACCTTCAAGCCTTGGGGCCTATGAGCAAAGTCTACCTTTCCCAATAATTCAGGGAATATAAATACATCCCAGTTGGCTCCCAAGTAGTTGGTCCAGTGCCTTGTGAATAGAAATTTAGTAAATGCTTATTCTATTGCACTACACCACGAGTTAGTTGCATTTACTCATGTAATGTCTTTTTTTTTTTCTTTTTAAGAGTGCATGGCTTATAGAATACTGAAATCCAAGTTGGGATAAAAGAGCATACAATAGTAAGTCCTGATCTTTCAGAGTTTACTCAAGAAGATAGGAAAAAATAGAAAGTTTTTTTTTTTAAACTTTCTATATTGTAAGGAAAAAAAGGAAAAGGGAAAACCCTTGAGGATTAGAAGTCATGCAGAAAACAAAGATACATAACATCGCAATGACTTCACCATTGCCGTATTGTTCATTTTCTGGTCCACAGAGCTTTGTTCTCTTTTTTAAAAATTCTTTTCCCCCAAATTCTTAAAGCTCCATCCTTCTAGGATGAAGACAGACTTCTGCCTCCTTTCTTCTTGAATAACCTGTGTAAAATCAGGTCATTATTACTTACCTAAACATACTAAGTTGCAGGCTCTATGTTAGCAAAAGATCATTTATAGTTGGCTAATTCTTATTTAATACACATAGCATTAACTTCCATTGGTTTCCACAGTGCTGGCACACTTCCACTGTGTTTCTGGAGGTCTCATTATAATACCTCGAATAGCTATTCATGACTTTGGGTTTTCATGATGATTTTATAATTGTCATTACAAGATAAAACGTGTGTTAACACTTGGTATTTAAAGTTGTATACCAGAATTTGAAACAAATTTGTAGTATGAAAAAAAATAATGTCCAGGTCTATGATTTTTATACCATTGTAATGACTAAGATAAAATTCACCACGTAATCCACCAAGATAATTGTGGGAACATAGTATGCTTCAGTTATTTGAAAATAGGGATATAATCATCGAAACATTGAAAAATGTTCGGTTTTGTAGCTATGTGTGCTTGTGTACAAATATAAACTGACTTCTTATGGCATAATAATCTGAAACATAAATATACAGTCTGCTTTACTACTCTTTTCTTTGTTGTGTAAATGTCCCTAATTTTTGCATTTCCTACTCTATTCCTAGAGTAGAATGTGTTGGAATAGAGAGGAAGGAGCAGCTTTCAGGATGCCCCCTAAGAGCGTGTGATTCTAAAATGATTTAAACAACCTCTCATGGTTTGCTTGTGCTGCCTGTATGAATCGTCCTTTTTGCTAGGAATTTTGTACTAAAAGATGATAGAAATAAAGAATTAAAGAAACCCTCTTTCTCCTAGTGGTGGGAAATGGTTTGAAGCTTGTTATCAGTTGTTTTCAGGGCATGGTTCATTTCTTTGTTAGGAAACAATATACAATGGGAGAGGCACCCCTTGGAAAGGGGAACTACTCTAACCTCTTTTTATCTATATGAATTTCACCAAGTGACCTCACCTTTAACTTGGGGATCCTAACTGATATCTGTCCTACCAATTTTGTGGGATGAATGGGATCAAGTTAGAAAGCATACTCGAAAAAGATTTTCAATCTATCAAATGTTCTGCAAACGAAAAAAGCTATTATTATTATTACTACTACTACATCATCATTAGCATTATTTTCAACACTGTTAATATCTTTTTAAAAGATTTATTTATTTATTTTAGAGAAAGAGCACACACGCTTGAGCAGAGGGAGGGGCAGAAAGAGAGGGAGACAAGCAGACTCCTATCTGAGTGCGGAGCCCTACCCTAGGACCCAGAGATGATGACCTGAGCTGAAACCAAGATAAGATGCTCAACCAACTGAACCACCCAGGCACCCCTGTTACTATTATTTCTAACAGAAGTCTAGAAGGATCCTTCTTGTCCAATTACCTAGCCAATACTCGGTTCATTTCAACAAAGTTCTGTGTGACAAGGAGCTCCCTAATTCCCCAGGCAGTTCATTACCAGGATTTTAATAATATGGAGAATGTGAGCTAAAACATACTTATCAGAAACTTCACAAACAGAGGAAGAAATAATATAGGAGATAGAGGTCTGTGTTCCATGAGACTGCAAAGTAGTTAAGTATGAAACAGCCATCAGAGAGCCCTGACGCAGAATGAGAAGGCGCAGGTGTGGGGAAGAAAGGGGCCTGTTGGTTAAGCTTTTGCTCAAGCTTGAATTTCTCTAATCTGGGCCCAGCCACAGCCTGGATTAAGCCTCTGCCAACCTGGCCTGGAGCAGACCTGGGCCATTGGAGCTCTTTGGAGTAGGGAGACCACACTTAACCCATTCTCTTCTAATCTTACTTTGCCTCTCTGCCAGTCGCACTAAACCTATTCACTTTACCTCATTGTTAGGGGTCAGACTTAATGGGCATAGAGGACCTCTACATGAAACATGTCTTCCCAGTTGCTTCCTAATGCCTGGAACATACTAAAACATAAGGAAGCGCCTTTAATTCCACATAAAGAGATTATAGGCTTTAAATACCAAGACCACCGTGGTAACTAACATCTGTGAGTCTCAGTACCTGAATGCTAAGAGGGAGGGAAAGCAAGATGTGGAAAGGGCGCGTTGAGACAGCAGAAGACAGATCTTCCCATTTTACGAGTGCGCCGTGGAAATGACCGTGGACGTTGCAGAGACCACCTGTCCAGTCTCTGCTAACACAGGCAGCTCTGCATCATATGATTCAGGAAGCTGTTGTTGAATGTGGCCGATTTCACATAAGGGAGTTTTGTCCTGGGACAGAACAGGGTGTGGGGGATTGCTGGTGGATTGCGCATTAGGACAGCAAACTGAGTTGCATCTCCCGTTACCTAGCTGTGTGTGGGGCTAGCCGGGTCACCATAGCAGCACCAACACCAAAGAGGGATGACCTTATGATTATGTGATTTGGGTAGAGCCCACAGTTCTAGGCAAGCCACATGCCTTCTCGGTGGAATAAAGTGATTGAATTAGAAGGACACTCCCCACTCTAAACGGCATGGCTCTCTGTGGAGCCACCTCCATTCATCTCAACTGCAGCTCTCTTTACAAACACGTGGACGAGCCCGGAAACAATAATGACCAGTCTGTTTGATGCACATTGAAATTATTCCAAGACAGCAGTCCGTTAAGGACTTAACATTATTTCAAAACTAAGGGCTGAATGTTTAAATCAAGAAAGAGAAAAGGTGTTTTCCTTCATTCATGATGCTCTTTTGTTCTCAGAGGGAAGCAGTCACTATTGGGAGGAAGGGATGTGTATCCTGACTACCCTTTAGGTGACCTTATTGCCAGGGGTGATCAGCCTTCTCTGCAGATTTTTAATTCAGGTGAAATGCATATTTCAAGTTACCTTGATGATCTACATGGCAGCCTATGGGAAGCAATCAGAAAAAAAGTATCAGGGACTGCTAGATGGAATGCATTTGAAGAATTTTCTGATTACTTATTATCGATGCAACCTACCATGTCAGCTCTTCACTTTGTGATTGATTTTTCTCTTTTTAAACTGATGTGTGAAACCCCAAAGGAAAATGAATGGCAAAATATTGTGCTGAACTAAACTTAAGTCCAAGGTAAGAGGCTGTGGAAAAACACTTGGCTTGGTCAGGTGCTAGGACTGCAAAAATGGGCTAGAGTTTTGAGGCGGAGGCAGAG